AAAACGTATCATTTGGAAAACTCTCTCCAAAGTGGATAAATTTGAAAATGCCGTTTTCGCATTGTAGTGTGGACAGTGAAATCGGATGTATTTCAAAACGATGACGTAAGTTTAGTCATGTGATCTAGTCATGTGTCGCCTTGCTTTTGGCTTGCTTTGAGCTTGCTCAGTTGGGGTTATTTAGTGTTTAGCAATGTTGTTGATCTGTGTTGTGCTACTTACATGTTATCACTGTGAAGCTGCTTTGATACAATCTGTATTGTGAAAAGCGCTATATAAATAAATGTGACTTGACTTGACTTGATCTATGTAGTACCAATAGATATTCATGTTTATCGGAATTGTGCCTGTTATGTGTTATTCATTTTTACACTGTTGCTAAAATATGTTACTTTCTATGTTACTTAATATGTGCTATTCTTCATAGCACAGTACTGCAAAGATGACAGATAATGTACTTACATTTGCTGTCCTGCGGCAAAACAGACCTGCTGTCCTTGCATTTTAGACCAAACATATGGCGACTGAATGCAACCTGGATGCATCAGTGATGGTGAGATATTTTGCTAAATCAAATTATCCTGTTATTGTGCGATAACATTATTATTTATTTCCCCATCTGTATCATCTCAGTGAGCTTTTGTGAATTTTCACGCATGCGCAGTAAAGTGAATTTAGAAGTTTCTCATCCACACTGAAACGTCGGAAAACGGCTGAAACGCTAGTGTGGACGGAGAGCGTTTTTTAAACGAAAACCCTGTTTTCAAATGTATCCGGATTAATGTGGACGTAGCCTATGATATGTGAGTTATGGCATGATTTTTGGTGAATAATGACTTAAATTTAGATCTGTTCTCATTTAGAGCAATCGTATAGCTTTACAAGATTTGGAATACTGTGCATAGGTGCGGTCACACTGACGAAATTTCAGTCAATTTCAACATTAAGCTCATTTTTTTGTACATTTGGAGTGCTGTCAGTATATACAAAAACGGCAAACGGCAAAAATAAAAAATAAATAAAAAATAAAAATCGCTGCTGCTTACACCGTGTTATCCTCTTTTTTAAAATTCACACCCTGTTGACTTCAATGGAGCAAGTTCTAAACCTGCTTTTAGCCTCTTTAACATCCTTGAATAGTCATTACAAGTGCATAACCATGTGAGTGGTGTTATTAAGAGTGACCACAGTCAATCTGACTGCAGTAGATGTGAAAGATATCCACAAGTTTCCTACGCCCCATGAGGCCTTGCGTCAAAAGTGGGCGCGACTTCTGGTTGGAAGTAAACAAAGGGCGATTTGACATGCTTGACACTCGTTCATTCAACAGTTGACAGTCATTCAAGTTATAGCGATCCAAACTAGCTAACGATGTGGGAACACAACCTCAACGAAATTCAAAAGGGTGAAATAACAGTACCTTTACGCAGTAGTTGATTGGGAGTATTATAATAACATTATTAATAATCAATACTCATCAAGGCATGGTGACAGACAGTTGTGCGAGCTGACAAACAATTAAAATAAAAAAATACACACTTAAGTCATTGTGCTTTGGAGTTTATTCAAAATTATAAATAAATGTGCTACTTGAATACATTAACTGGCACATTGGTATTCTGTCAACACAGGCTTTGATCCTGAGTTTAGGTGTAACATCAGTAGAGAACAGCCAAAATGCTGAGAGAGTTTATAGAATATTAAGAATTTAAACAAATGTACACAGGAAGATTCGTCGTCTTTTGGGAGGTGATGGAAACTACAGTCGTTGGCAGGATCACTCTGATTTCGTTTTCAGCTTATGTTCAAAACAATCACGTTTAAGCCACTAAATTAGTTTAGTCCGGCTATACATACAACCGCGAACAGCACATGTTGTCCCTGAGCTTCGTAACGACATCTCTCATAAAGATTTGCGTCTTTAAATAGTAAAATAATTCTCCGAAAAACAGCTAGCCTCTTCGCTAACTAACACACAAAATACCATTGGAATGCTACTTCCGCCGCGTCACCGGAAGTTTCACCCACTTTATTTTTTACAGGAGCGCCCCTCGGAAACTTGTGGATAAATAAAAATGATGTTAATTCAGCCAGCTCACATACTTTACGTCCTGTTTAAGTCCACAGTAGTTGATTTTCGAGTTTGTGCAAGCGATCATTGGTAACTAAGCAACAGTGGAGACTCAGATGTCAGCCGATGACGGTGCTGTGTGGTGTTCTGTGAATATCATGAATATGAATATGTGAATATTTGAGTCTCCACTGTTGCTTAGTTACCAATGATCGCACACGCGAACTTGACGATCAACTACTGTGGACTTCGACCGAAAACAGGAAGTAAATACAGGTGTGTGAAAGAGGCTAAAACGGATGTACGGACAGCACTCCAAATGTACAAAAAATAGCTAAATGTTAAAATTGACTAGAGTTTGCCTTTAAGTTGGCGGGGGAGTTGTCGGCAGCTGCTGAATGTAACTAATAAAGTAACTTGTAATCTAACTTACTTTTAAAATCAAGTAATCCATAAAGTAACCAAGTTACTTTTTAAAGTAATCAGTCTCAGATTACTTTTTCAAAGTAACTGTGGCAACACTGGTTAACATGACCTAACAAGGAAAATACTTCTAAAGCATTTATCAATCTTAGTTGATGTTAATTTACTACTAGTTAATGTTAACATTTACTAACCAAACATTGGATGTATATACACACACACACACACACACACACAGTATATATGACCTGAGTTAACATGAACTAACAATGAACAGTTAACGAACATTAATAAAGATTAATGAATACTGCTACAAATGCATTACTCATTGCTAGTTAATCCATTAACCAATGTTAACTCATAAGACCTGATTGTAAAGCGTGATGATTGCATAGTAGTATCACAGGAGATTACATCTCCGTTTGTGTTCCAGAGAAGAAAAAACAGTGAGAGAATTAAAAAAGATGTTTATTTTTTTATGGTAACCTACTACTCAAAAGAAGCATTTTGCGTTAAATCTTGGCTCGACATCAAGTCTATCCAGACACACGGTGTACTACTCATTAAATTAATTGCAGGGCCTAAGATGTTCTAAGATCATTCAATTACAATTCTTACACTAAAAAGGTGCAGCTCTGCCAACAGTGCAGATGTCTTTAAAAATAGCTTGTCAAGAGCAACCTCTTCTCTGCTGTAAGTGAGAAAAATGAGATTGTGAGAGGGTGAGATCTATGGCAGCAGCAGTGGCAGTCTGTCTCTGCCCTCAAGCCCATGCTAATTAAGAAACACTGTTAATTAACTTGTTTGCAACCAGCACTGCACACTTCTATACAATCTGTGCCTCAACATTTCCCCGTAAGCGAGTCAGTTCCTCCCAGCCCCTCGTAACACACAAACACGCAATCTGGCACACACAAACACACACACACATTTCTGCTGAGGCGCGTCTCTCAAATTAGACACGGATGAAAAAGCAAACAGTGAGAAAATTGCACAGAGCCCAGCAGTGTGGGAAGGAAATGCACCCAGCAATTATACCAGAGGCTGAAAGTAAGTTTGAACAGAGGACTAGAGGGAACACACTGGATTAAACTCCAATGAGAGAGCAATCGCCTACTTAACTAGCACATTCGACAAAGAGGAGAACTGGGACCTGGATACAAACCTGCTGTATTAAAACCTGCACTGACCAAACAAAGAAAAAACACACAAGCTAAAATAAGCATTAAAATCATTTAAGACATCTTGTTAAAACTCAATAATGTAAGATTTAATCTTCTCTTTGAAATAGTGACTAAGTGACTCAACTCTTTTGAATTGTAATTGGCACTGAAATTAACACAGAAGTTCTGTGCTCAGGGATACACTTGGTAAAACTCTTTCGCGATATAGAAAGTGTCAACCAAACTAAAAGCTTTAAACTCCTCATAGTATAGTAAACAGAAATGTTTGACTGCCGAGGAAGATAGGCTGTCAACTCTCTGAGGTCGACGGTATCGCCTGCTATACCAACTCACTTTTTTCTTATAAGTGCAAAGGTGACTCAAAATACTCTTTGACCAAATAAGCTTTTGTTAGACAGTTTCTGTTCATATGTTAAATATATAGCATGTTTTGTCAAAAATAAACTAATAAACTGTTATAGTGTTTGTTCCAATGTATGATATGATAAAATGTATTGACCTACTTTAAAAAATAATACTTTATGGACACATTTATGGAAAAAGACAATTTTCTTGCCTGACTTTCATTTGTATATAGTGTGTGTGTATATATGAAGAGCTCAGATGCAAAAGCCTCTAAATGCCATTTGAAATTTTCTTCTTTAATGATGATTTTTATCAAACTTGTATATTTAAGTTCAGTAATTTCACTTAAATAACAATTAATAGGTAATTATCATTGCCATTTAAGTGAAATCACTGAACTTAAATATACAAGCTTGATAAAAATTATCATTATAGAAGACATTTTCAAATGGCATTTAGAGGTTTTTGCATCTGAACTCTTCATATATACACAGTATATATATATATATATATATATATATATATATATATATATATATATATGACAGTCAAAATCACATTTCTAGTCATACCTGGAAACAAATCCTGTATATACTGTATATTGTTCTTGCATTCTTGTGTGACACTCATGTGTGAAGGGTCATTATGCAGGTCTTTGTCTTCTCAGGTGAGAACCACGCAATTATTCACGAGGGGGTTGGGCCGTTCACGCCTCCACGCATATTGCCTTTCTAACACATGAACCCAAGACGTCATAAATCCTTTAGCGTGAATATGACACGCAGACCCTACCCCACACCTAAACTTAGCCCTCACAGTGCATGTTATATTAACGATAACAGGTGCCATGTGCGTAGTATAGCGCCGTTTTGTCATATAGCATTCAATATGACGCTAAAGTATGAGAATGCGTTGGTGTTTTGTGGCCTTATTTCAGAAACTTTTTTTTTCAATAACCATGGATAACCAATAACATTTCCATACATGTTGCTCACATATTATAGTAGCCCTGTTTGTGCTAGTAGAGTGTATTTTCACATGTGCCATCAATATATTCATAGAGATTACATAAACTGAGAATGCGTTTCAGAAACATTTTTGCAGAGATAGAGTGAGCTCAAATCGCACCCTGTTTATTTTATTTATTTTACAAAAACACAAGGTTTTGATGTTAATACGAGTGTACAAAAAAGAAGACCCTCTATAGTTTATAATCCTGTATTGATTTTATTTTTATGACCATTAATGACAGAGTATTTTAAGTCTATGTTGCAGCTATGTGAAAAAAAAAAAACCCAAAAAAACAAACAAATAAAAAAAACGATCAAAACGCAGGGATGCGTTTTTGATCCCCAGGGGGTTAAAGACAAATATATTGATTGATTGACTGACTGAATGATTAACTTAGTTAAGAATTCTGCATAAACACTTCCAGAATGAGTAACACCGCTTGTTCACAAATTGCAAGTTAATAGTTGGGTCCAACAGAATACTATTACAGCCTTGGTTCCGGAGGAAAAAAAAAAAAAAAAAAAGAACAAGAAGAAGAAGAAGAAGAAGAAGAGGTCCATTCAAATATACAGACAGACAAGTTGTTTGAGAGTGGAGTGAAAAAAACTCTGGTTACTTCCAAATTGTTACACTTCCTCTCTATGTAGTTTGCATTAAACCACCCTTCCTGTTCCAATGGAAAATTTGTATTACTTAGCATTGCATCACAGCAACAAACTGGTATGTGCTGAAATGTGTCACTCAAACTAAGGCAAGAGTGAAATTATACATTTTGTTAAAAATAAAATAAAGTCACTGTTTCCAAACTCTGAGATCCTTTGGAAGGACCTGAATGTTTCTGTGTTTGCACAATTTCTTTTCTTTACAAAGATAAATATAAAGTTCCCACCTCAATAAAAAGCTGTGAGCGAGTGCAGACAGGCACGTCTGCCACATAATACAACATTAAAAAGCTATATTCGTGAATAACGTGTCGCCCTTGGCTTGTCGTGGGTTGGAATTTAAAGGGGAATCAGATATGCATGTTTAGACGGAGGTCGGATGTCCAGATATCGGATAAGTATCGGATTTAAAACCATGTTTGGAAGTGGCTAAAATCTGATCTCGTGCAGATTTATTTGTTTACACGTGTGCAACAAATTCCAATCTGTGTCAGATGTGAGTAAAAAATCAGATTCTTTGTGCCAGTGTAAACGCAGCCATGGAGTGTGTGGGCTACATTCCCAATCCTACCTGGCATTGAGCTCATCTGCAGAGAATGTTTGTTCTTAGATTAGTCTGATTGAGCTTGACGGTTGTGTAGGTGACCTCCATTGATTCTATGTGATGTGTGTTTCAATGTGTTGGAAAGCTACATCCCAATGGATTGTTCCCTTAAGAGAGAAATATAAAGTCATTGGAGCTTACGGCTGAATTGGATTTCTTCTAAACTATGCAGAGAAGATTTGGGTCAATGCTTTTATATGAGGATGATTGGATCTTAGTTGTTCTCCATCTGAAAAACTACTAGGATGAGCATAAAAAGATGAGCAAAAAAAAAAAAAAAAATGTTGTCACTATAAGCTATGGGGTTGTTGGTTGCTAGGGTGTTTGCAAGGTTAACTGGAGGCAACCTACAAGTCTCTGATATTTTGGTCCCTCTTGGAATGTAAGTTCATAAGATTTTACCATCAATTTTATTGACCGCTGGAGAAAAAGTCTACCAGTAAGTCTGATTGCTTAAAAAAAAACATAATGGCAGCTCTCAATAGTTTACTAAATTTGAAGCATAATTTGTGTCTCTGTATTTTTAAGATTCGTTCATTTTGATGAACAAGTTCGAACAGGAGAGTCACGAACGTGCATCAGAGAACAGAGCAAGGTGAGCATCTGAACTTATAAAACTTAAACTTTGTTATTTATATTTATTTATTCATTTTAAATGATCGTTTCGCTTGATAAGACCCTTATTCATCGTCTGGAATCGTTTAAAGCCATTTAAACAGTTTGGAGTTTGCACTGAAACTGTCTTTTGGACCTTGAAGTGTTTGGTAACCAGTAAAGTGCATTATATGGCATTATTATATTTCTTTTCGACTGAAGCCAGGGACACTTTTAACGGGAAAAAAAAAAATATCTGTGTTTGTGAAGTTTTAGTTCAAAATACTCCAATCTGGGGACATAAGATACTTGTAAAAAGGGACATTATATCACCCTTTTAAGTTTATTTTTGGAAAATTATGGACATTTGGGCAATATAGTAATTATTGCCTTATCTATGCATGTGTGTGTCATCATCATCATCTAAATATACAACTTATGAAACTCTGATAGACAAACAATTGCATTGTGAGTGACATCAGCAAAAGAAACCCAAAGAACATCAAAACTAAGAAACGCAAATGACGGCTTTGAATGTCATCTGTGCTATAATCTACCCACAGCCTTCTTGTTCTCATTTTCTCTTTAGTCAAGTCTTTCTTCCAGGGTTAAGCAGAACAGAGCTACACTCATAATTGACAAAAGCTTTTCAAAGCAAAGCTCATCTCTTGGAATCTTGGGAATAATTTGAAGTGAGAGCATTTTCAGGTATGCAATTCATTTGATTAAGCTTTGAGTTCAAAGGAATGATTCTTACACTTTCTCAGTGTTAATAAAATTGACGGGATGAAAACCACACAGCCTGGGCTCAGGTGTGCTCAGCTCATATGTGCCCAACTTTAATGGAGTCAGAACTTGTAATTTTGCCTTCGTAAAAAAACACACACATCTCAACTCAAACTCAAACAGGTCTCCTAAAAAGTCTACCGAAGTGGTGACCCTTTACTAAACGTTTTATTTTTTGTTCCTGGTGTTTATTTTATGAATAAAATAAATAGTAAAATGTATATATTATGGAGTAACCGTTTTATGAAAGCTATAAGCCACTTGAAGCCGTGTTTTACAGTGAATTTGGAACAGCTAAGGGGGTTTTAGGCACTCTGCTCTGTGTTGTGCCTAACAACGCCCCTTAGCTGTTCTAAAATCACTGTAAATCACACACACACACACACACACACACACACACATATATACATACTTATAACTTTTTCTCTTAATAACTTTTTTTTTCAAGTCCAAAATATAATTCTTTATTAGCTTATATTTTATAATTACCGTTTAAAATATGCCAACAAATCTGCAAAGGAACACTGACTTTTTGGGACTTTAGCTTATTCACTGTATCCCACAGAGTTAAGTAAGTCCATACATACCTTTTTCATCTCTGTGCGTTTCGTAACTCTGTTAGACGCACCCACCGCTAGCCTAGCTTAGCACAAACACTGGATGTAAATGGCTACAGCTAGCATACTAATCCCAAAAGTGACAAAATAATGCAAACATTTTCCTATTTACATGTGATTTGGGAACTATATTCTCAGAAGGCGAAGCACGGCTACTTGGGCGGAGTGATAACGGCAACATCTGAGACGCACCGTGGTGAGGAGCAGAGAGTTCGTTCAGAGGATTATAGATAGTGGATGGTTTACAATCATGGGTGTTTGTTGTATTGTAGCAGCAACAATAAACAGGGGAGACCAGGTAATACCATGATGTTTCATAGAATTCCAACCAAAAACGCTGACCTGATGAATCAATGGAGTTACTTGCTCTGGATATAACGTTAGATCCAAACACACCTGAAGAGATCATCAAGGACCATTGTGTTTGCTCAGTACATTTCACTGAGGATGACTATATTTTGAAAAAATGGAATTTGCATCCATCTCATCGATAGCATGGACAGGACAAAGTGGATCACCTGTGGTAAGTGTTCTGTTGTGTTTTTAGATAACTAGCCTACTGTAACAGTGCCAATAGCCATATCTAATGTAATGTTAGTGGCACTATTATATGAATAGGGTGGTCACTACTATTGCAGTTGTTCCCGATCTCCATGTATCCCTTTAAAAGTTGACATGTTTTTATCGATGCGGCGCGGATGCGCTTGGAAAAAACGAGCTCGTCGCACCGTGACTGTGTCGCTTCCATTATGAGCGTGCATATCCAGCGCACCTAGATTGTTAGCAGGCCCTAATGTTAGTACTGTTTTCACAAACGCGCTCTTTCGCCCCAGGAACAAATAAGCGGAGCAAGAGGTAAACTCAGGACTGTAGCCCTCACCTTGCTAAATCAGATTTATTTTGGTTTTTTGAGAAACAGTGACCTTGTCCAGTACGGGTAGGCTACTGTCTGTGGGTTCATTGAGCAAAAACAATTTGCCCCCTTATTCTAGCCAATTGTAATGCAATTATCTAACATTACTGTATTACATGCTGTTGAATACATTTGGTTCAGCTGTGATATAAAGCAAATATCTTGATAAATATAAATATATTGATTCCTATAATTCGTGTTTTCTGATATTTATTCATCAGGATGCATTTTTGGTTGGAATTCCATTAAAAACATCATGGTATTACCTGGTCTCCCCTGTTTATTGTTGCAGCTACAATACAACAAACACCCATGATTGTAAACTATGCTTTTACCATCTAGTAATCGTCCGATCGATCTCTCTGCTCCTCACCAGATTGCGTCTCAGGTGCTGGGGCAAACACTCCGCCCAAGTAGCAGTGCTTCGCCTTCTGAGAATATATAGTTCCCAATATTTAAACAGTTAAAAGATGGCTGTGTCTAGGGTTGCCAACTGTCCAGAAATAGCCGGAACGTCCTGATTGTTGGGCCTAATTTATTTTACCCGTACGGCACCTCTCTTGTCCCGATTATTGAGTGCTACGCTAATCTGACTGATACAACAGCAACTCGACACTTGAGAATGACCATGACACCGGTCACCATCAAGTCACGTGCATCCGACCAAACAAATAAACTCTAAATTGATAATAAATTATCTAATCTATCAAGACATAATCTATTTAGAAAAATCCCACATACTTCTGCCCGTGAATTAGTTGAAATAGTTCAGTTCAGCTCCTGGAATCTAGATCTGCGCATGTGAGACAGAACATAGCCTACTGTACACCAGTGACAAAAACGTGTAACACACGTCCACAGAGAGGGAGAGAGCGAGAGACCTTGCCAACACTCCCTTAAGCAATAAAATAAAAAAATTATGTCTAAACAATATTTACAGAAAAAAAGGTAAAATGAAAGCCACAATTAAAGACGAAATGAAAAATACAATGCATGGAACATGAGGGACAAAGTTGAAACGAGGCTTGATATTGAGCCCAAAGTGTAAATTCAGTAATCATGGAATTGTTTCTAAACGACTATTTGAGCAAAACATTTGCACCTGAATAATTGTGATTGTGATTGTATTGTAAGTGTGATGATCATCTGCTAAATGATCAACAACGACCACAATTCACTCCTTCAGGCAGTGAAGCACCCACAGCCATTCATGAGAGTTTAAATGCTGGGGAATATTCACATCTTCCCACAGAAGAAGAAGGAGCAAGCAGGAGGAATTACTCCAGGAGAAACTACAGACATACTATTGTAAAGATGGAGATTATGGAAGAACCCTGCAGAATAAATGATGAAGATACAGAGGAACAAATAGGTTGGTGTTTTCCTTCATTCTCTTTAATCACTGATGAGGAACATTAAGACGAAAACTCACAAATAATAATAACATCTAAAACTAGATACTAGTAGCCCTAAAACAGGCAATGTGTCTCACGAGATGCAGCTTTTATTGTATTTTTTGGGGGCATAAGAAACTTGGTCTGTCTTGATTTTTTTTTTCTTTTTTATAGAAATCAAAGCCATATATCTAACCAAGTTAGAAGTTGATATCACAAAAATTGAAGTTCGCCATGAGATTTTGTTTAGGCATAATACCAAAAATAGCCACCGGGTGACTTACATCCCTTTGAATTTAATTGTATGCATTCTGCCAAAACAAATTAATAAACTTCTGTCCAAATATCACTTCCGTCACAAAATATGGAACCTTGAGACTCAGACCTTTCTGACAATATGTGTTTTTTCAAGATTAAAAAAAAATATATTTTGATCATAAATTATGAAACATGACGAAAAAGGGGGGAAGAGCCCATTAAAATAATTTAGAGTACCGTAAGATTCTTGAGTTTGAATCTTGAGTTCGTAAGATCAGGTGAAGTTTGGGATATAATTGTTTTAAAAATACAGTGGTCCTTATGGTCCTTTTTTATACCCTAATCAGGCAACGTATCTCGGGAGACACAACTCATAAAATCCAAAATATGTAAAAAAATAAATAAATAAAAATAATTCTTTTGGATTTGTTTTATTTAAGTCCAGATAATATAAAAAAAATGTAATAAAATTATTTTTTGCTAAGCATTATCCACTCTTGTCTGTTTAAGTGCTAGTAGAAAATTGAGATTTTTTAACAATGTTGATTTTTGTTTCTCAAGTATCCATTTATTAAATTATGTGAATTTAATTTGTTTTTTTTAGACCTGATGGAAGTGAATGGAGACAAACAGCATCAGTATCAAAAAACGCATTATTTCACTAATGAAGATGGAATTTCAAACAGAAGAAAAGAGAATTTCACACAGAAACAAGCTGAAGGATCTTCAACCTGTTCTGAGTGTGGAAAGAGTTTTGGATGTAAATCAACCCTGAACAAGCACATGAAGATTCACACTGGAGAAAGGCCTCATACATGCACTCAGTGCGGAAAGAGTTTCAAACTCAATGGACAACTAAAAGTGCACATGAGGATTCACACTGGAGAAAGGCCTTTTGCATGCACTCAGTGTGGAAACAGTTTCAAGCACCAAGGACACCTAGATAATCACATGAGAATTCACACTGGAGAAAAACCATTCACATGCTCTCAGTGTGGAAAGGGTTTCACTCGCAAAAACTCTCTCAATAATCATCTGCATTGTCACTCTGGAGTGAGATCATTCAGCTGTGATCAGTGTGATAAAACATTTGTTCTTGAATTAAGCTTAAGAAACCACCTTAAAGTGCATTCTGCTGTGAAGCCTCACTTTTGTTCTGTATGTGGAAAGTGTTTTTCACAACTTGAAACTTTAAAAGGGCATGAGCGTATTCATGCTGGTGTGAGACCTTATATGTGCTTTGACTGTGGAAAGACTTTCATTTCATCCGGCAACTTAAAATCACATCAGAGAGTTCATACTGGAGAGAAACCGCACCAGTGTTCACACTGTGGAAAGAGTTTCTCTCAGTTAGGACAACTGAAAACTCATGAGAGAGTTCATACTGGAGAGAAGCCGCACCAGTGCTCTTCATGTGGGAAGGGTTTCAGTCATTTATCTAGTCTACTGAAACATAAGAAAAATCATTGCCCGAAGGTGTCTAAGTGAGTAAAGTTCACTTACATAACTTGTAAATAAGCAAAATATGGCATATCCTTTAAAACTGCATTTTATTGTTAAAAATTAGTATTGAAATTTGATTGTTTGACAAGGGGAACTGGTTAAAATTGTTGTGAACAGCATTGTAAGTGTTGCATGTGTTGTTCTTCCGACACCCGTAATGATGCTCTGTTGTGATGCACATGTGCAGTAAACACTGAATGTTACTGTATACAAAATGAACAGAACAATAAAGCAACAATGTAAAAAAAAATACTTGTGTCAGTTTCATTGCTCAAGCAGTTATTACTACTATATTCATCCCATACTGGCAGAGGTGGTAGTAGGTGGTAGTTGAAGTAAAAGTACTACTTCAATAAAATTAAGTAAAAGTACTGGTCTAAAAATCTACTCAAGTAGAAGTAAAAAATAGCTCACTTAAAATTTAGAGTAAAAGATACTGAGTTACTTTTTTAAAAGCGTGTTGGAGTGGGGGAATCCCTGTGTAGGGTTGAAATTTTCACAGTATGATAATGTCTCAGAAAATATCATGGTTTACAGTATTAATCAATTATTAAATTAATTAGTATTATTATGATCATTAGTTAAAATGATTATGAAAACAGTTTTTTTCTTTTGTTGAACAAATGCTTTTAATTATAATAAACTTGTTTGTTTTGTTTATTAAAATTTTAATAAAACATGTCTAATCAATCGAATTCGATAATTGATAATGAATTAGATTAACAACTTATGTTTAACATTATTTATTAAAATGTTTAAGAATAATATTGTCCTATGAAATGTATTTTATTCAGAAAATTAATGTTTCTTTTTTATGACTTAATCCAAATATATTATTAAAAATGGTGGTAATCAAAAGTAAATTTAAACTTAGTTTTTTTGGGGGAAGCGCTGCAAAAAACAGATTTACTAAATTAAACCATGGACAAAAAATATACTCCTTTAAATAATGAAATGTATTATTGTTTTATTATTATTATTTTTAGAAATAGGCTACGTTCTATTGCATGCCTACAATAGTAATATATTTCCGTCATAATTTCTCATCGTAAAAACAAACTTTTATTTTGACGGGTTGTAGTGAAGACCAAAAGTGTAAAAAAGTGTTTCAAAGTGTATTTGACAATGGTTTTTCTTAAATAAAATGATGAAAATGCCCATTAGGCGTTCTCTCAGTGCAGCTCTGGAAATGTTCATGTATTCATATACTAAAATTGTTTGCGAGACGCTGAAAACGCTATGAATGCCACGCGTACTTGAGTAGAAGTTAACTTAGTAGACAAAGCGGTGCAGCTCAGCAAATAGAGTTATATATTTACATACAATATTTTTGTGCTTAAATTGGATTGGATTTATTGCACAGGTCTACTTTCCATGTATCACTATCAATCCATTATTTGGCGAGTTTTACGTGACATTCTTTCCATGTATCAATCCATTATTTTGCGTGCTGCATTAAGAGAATAATTCCATTTTCGTAACTGGATTCCAGGATTCCCTCTGCATCCAACCCGATCTCACGGGAATTCGTACGAATTTTACAAGGTGGCTAATTCGTAACAATTCGTACGACCTCACTCGTACGAATTAGTACGATTTTGCTAAATCGTACATATTTTACAAATGAGCCAATTCGTATGAATTTGTACGAATGACCTACCCCTGACCCCACCCCTAAACATAACCGTCACATGGGTTTAGACAAATCGTATGAATTGGTACGAATTAGCCACTTTTGAATCACTCGTACGAAGTTGTACGAATTGGTCGTGAGATAGCGTAGTCTGCATCACGCAAGTCATTCGGCCTTAAATTATAATCGGCACATACCTTTATCTGCAGGAAGGGTGGTCCTTTTGCAGCCACTTTGCATCAACATTTTTTGCAAATTGGATATCTATCCTCAAGGACAACCACACTTTTCTCCCACAAAGTATTTTCATACTGGCCATAATTCGCTTCATAAGAATTCGAGCGCGCTTCGCTTTCAGCTTCGGCTGGGTCTGCGTCACCTTTTTTGCGTGTTTGTTCTCCCACCCTTCAACCAATGCAGTAGTTTCAGGAGTGTTAATTTTTGTTTTTCCTCGTGTCTTATGTGTATTATTACTCGTGTATTATTATTATTTTTTACCCAGTAACGGATATGATTTCAAATGTAGCGAAGTACAATACTTCGAACAATACGCACTTAAATAGAAGTAAAAGAACAGATTTTTAAACTACTTAAAGTAGAAGTACACACACACACACACACACACACACAAAAAACTACTCAATTACGTAACGCGAGTAAATGTAATTCATTACTTTCCACCTCTGCATACTGGGACTGCTTTCACTGCATCAACAATAACAAGGTTGAGGCAATGTGAATTGCAGTGGACGTAAAAAGCACGTTTAGCCTCTGCTTTGCTCCTCGATACAACCCCGCTGCATTTCTACCAGAAAGACTCTGGAGAATAGCATAGGCGTCATTTGCAGGTGTGATATGTCCCCACTGAAACATCTCACGGCACGGATGTACCAATACAAACAAATAAAACATCTCCAGGTAACTCCAGTAGAGCATTCATTTCGTTTGTTTGTTAAATAAGAGGCGATCTGAAGTGTGTTTTTGAAATCAAGTGAGCAAAGTGCTTGTTGCCTCTGCGATCAGTGGCGCGGATACAGTGTTCTGTTGTCTTTGTGGGGACTGAGAGACTCTCTGTATTTGTTACGGTGAAATCACAAAACCTAGTGCACAAAAAGTGTGTCCCTCCTTGAAATTCAACCACTAATAAACAGTTTTGATGAGGAAAATAAACTATACAACTAGTGGAGATTAGAACCCAGTACCTCTGACACACTTGGCAAAAGTTCTGCCTCTGGACCATTAAAGTTCATGAGGATAATCTATGTATTTAAAGGGATAGTTCACTTTGAAATTAATTTTTGATTTGTTTTAGCTTACCTCAAGGGCATCCAAGATGTAGGTGTCTTTGTTTCCACAGTATTTTCAATTTTGACATTTTTCAGTCAAACCGTTGTTGTCTATCAGTCATACACTGGAGGCTAAGGGGGTCCACCAAAAAGCATGCAGAGAGAAGTCAAAATTAAACATGATTTAATGACTCGTAAATGTACGTAAGTACACACTGATGGCCTAAGGCACGAAACGAGCGTTTTTTGTGAGAAAACGAACAGTATTTATATCGTTTTTACCTCGTGTAATCACAGTGACGTCCAAGTGATCTGAATCAGTTGTGCAATGTCCAACTGAACCGAACTGAATCAGTTCAATGCTACGCCGGAAGTGATCGCTTGTGTGTGACGTCACTCAATATTTACACAGAGATTTCGGTACCTTTTACTAAACATATTTAGATATACCGAAATCGTCTTCCATTGCAGTTTCCCGTATATCTAAATATGTTTAGTGAAAGGTAAAACTTCCGAAATCTCTGTATAAACAAAGAGTGGCGTAGGCGCGCAAGCGATCACTTTTGGCGCATGCGCAGACAGAAGCGCCCGTGCCGTCAGATCATTTTGTCTTGGCTATGATTACAAGAGGTAAAAACAATATAAATACTGTTCGTTTTCTCACACAAACCGCTCGTTTCGTGTCTTAGGCCATCAATGTGTACTTACATTTACGAATCATTAAATCATGTTTAATTTTGACTTCTCTGTGCATGCTTTTTGGTGGACCCCCTTAGCCTCCAGTGTATGACTGATAGACAACAACAGTTTGACTGAAAAATGTCAAAATTGAAAATACTGTGGAAACAAAGACCTACATCTTGGATGCCATTGAGGTAAGCTAAAACATATCAAAAATTAATTTCAAAGTGAACCATCCCTTTAATCACGTGAAAATTCTCACCACTAACAACTTATATTAGATCGCTGTTTGACACAAACGGGATTCCTGCATAGTGCCCCTTTAAGACCTCTTTTAAGGGTTAAGATACTCACTGAATTAGTTTTTTTTCTTTATTATGATTAGAGTAAGAGTAAAAAAAAGCCCACATTTCTACGAATTTTCTTAGAATTTTGAAACTAGGAGCGACTCTTTGCATTAAGATTGTTTATGAATACAGGCCCAGACCTTTTAAATCCAATTTTTGAAGCCAGATTAGCGCCATCTCTTGAGAGAAAATAAAATGAAACATGCAATTTCATGGTGTAACCATTAGATGCCTGTATAGCTCTCTATCGAGAAGCTTGTGAATTCTCTAGTTGTTTTTGGACAAAATTACTTTTAAGATGTGGATTTCAATGTATTTTTTTTTTTTGAAAATCTCAAATTACTTTCTTACTAAATTTGATGTGAAGTATAATCGTTTTTGCATATATTGAGCCCAAAATGTAAATTCAGTAATCATGATATTGTTTCTAAACGACTATTTGAACAAAACATTTGCACCTGAATAATCTCGAGTGATTGTAAATGTGATGATCATCTGCTAAATGAGCAACAACAACCTCAATTCACTGCTTCATTCCGAAATGCTGGGGAATATTCCCATATTCCAACAGGAGAAGAAGAAGAAGCAAGCAAGAGGAATTACTCCAGGGGAAACTACAGACATACTATTGTAAAGATGGAGATTAAGGAACAACCCTGCAGAATAAATGATGAAGACACAGAGGAACACATAGGTTGGTGTTTTCCTTCATTCTCTTTAATCACTGATGAGGAACATTAAGACGAAAACTCACAAATAACATCTAAAACTAGATACTAGTAGACTCAGTAGTAAACTGGATTTGAGAAAAATTGAGACTTTGAACCATGATATTTCCCTCAAGTATTAAAAGAACACTTTGGATATTTTGGTTTATAATTCCTTTAAGGGTGAATAGAAGTATGTTTAATATTACTATGGTGACACTTATATGGTAACACTTTATAATAACTGCACGCTATTAATCATTTGTTAAGCATGATTAAACAGTTAATTCATAATCTATAAAACATTAATTGACATTAATAAGCAGTTTATAAATACAGCGATACATGTTTTTTACCCTTGATTTATAAGCATATCTATTGTGTTTAATACTTGTATTTTCATACTTTGATCAATTAATCATTTCTAAATGAAGTATAGCATTATTTACAAACCAGTTATTTAAGAGTTATCAGTGATTCAGAAGATCACTTAAAAAGTGTAAGTAAATGTAGTAAATACAGGTAGTTATAAAGCATTTAGTAGTGATCAGTGATCAGACTATTATTCATGCCTTGTAAAG